TTAAAATTGCACGAGGATGATTATAGATGAATCTGTTTATTATTTATATTCAAACATAAAGTAATAATAATTATTATAATAATTATAATAATGATAATAATAATTTCTATATAAGATTATAAATTAAATATTATATAAATTATAATATTTAAGTAATTTAATGTATATATACATATATATATATATATTTATTTATTATTATATATATATATATATTTATATATATATATAATAATACAATTTAATTATAAAAAATTATTAAATTTTTATTATCATTTTTATTATAAAATATTTAATTTATATTCATTTATATATATAAATATTTATTTATTTAATATAAAAATATATATATATAATATAATATCATTATAATATTTTTATTAGAAAATATATATTTTAAATATATTTTATTTGTATATATATATATATATATATATATATATATTTATATTTTTATAATAATTCCTATAACTATAATTTACTTATAAAATTTTTATTATAAAATATATATTTTATACTTATTTACTTATATATATATACATATTTTTTAATACAATCATATATATATATATATATATATATATATATATATATATATATATATGTTTGTATGTATATATAAATGATTATTATTAAATAAAATGTAATTATTCGATTATACAATTTTAATACAATATTAGGGTTACATTAATTATGTTTTTAATAAAAGAAAATAAATAATCTATTCAAAATTCACATATATATATATATATATATATATATATATATATATATTATGTATATATTATATTATACACATATTATTATATACGTATATATACATATATATATTTATATGTAAACAAGTTTCTTAAACAACATACCGGATGCATTTCGCAGGTAAAATCTTCTTCGCAAGATGTCAATCCTGTAATACGTCCATAAATTCATTTTATTCATTTATATTTATATACAATTACTCTTTAGTAAAACCTCGCGCATTCTCTCAAAGAGGAAACATGATTGCACGAAGAAAATTGCAATGGCTGTCGACCGGAAGTATGTTTAAACTATTGCGTGACCGTATCTCTACGGTCATTTCCAACTGTATATTTAAAATCGAATTGTAGTGGTAATATTCGTGGCATTAATTTCGTTAAATTAATAAGTATAACTTATGCGCACGTTGTTTCATTTTCTTTTTTAACGATTTGACCTAATCTCTTTTCTTTGACGATCTTATTAAAAAAAAAAAAAAATAAAAAAAAAAAAAAAATAAAAAAAATAAAAAAAAAAAAGAAATAAAAAAAAAAGAAGTTTCGAACAATCGTTAGTTTTATTTTTTTTCTTTTTTTTTTCTTTTTTTTTTCTTCTTTTTTTTTTTTTGTACAACAATTTATTCCAAATCGATGCATTTTTTTAAAAATGATATTTTTCTCGAGATATCGTAACGATGACGAATTTTTTTTTTTTTTTTTTATTATTATTTATTTTTTTTCTATTTTTTTTTTTTTATTTTTTTTTCTTTTTTTTTTTTCATAATAATCTAGTTACACATATGTGTATATCTTTAAATCGTTATATCTGCGACTAATTATAACGACTCCGAGGCCAATGCAAATGATTACAACATCGATTAATTTATTATAAATAAATTAACAGAAGTATTAATTAACAAATATTCTAATTAAATATATTCTATCATTAATACGAATTATTAATTTAAACGTTCTATTTCACATTGATTAAATCTAATTTCGAACGAAATTAATCATTTTAAATTATAAAAATAAGATATTGAGATTCAATTATACGATTATTCCAGTGTGAAAAATTTTTGTTCCAATGATCAATTAAAAATTTTAATTATATTTTTACAAAAAAAAAAAAATTAATTACCTTCGATCTAATCCATTTTTTTTCTTTTTTTTTATTAAAAAAAAAAAAAAAAAAAAAAAAATACTCTCAACAAAATATATTTCGTTCTATCATTTTTTGCTTTTTTCTTTTTTTTTCCCATCTCGTTCATTAATTAGGATACATTTTTATTATTATTATTATTATTATCATCATTATTACTATTATTATTGTGTTAGTATTACTATCATGAAATGATAAAAAAAAATATGGCATATTTATGGAAAAGAAAAAAAAAAGAAACAAAAACAAAAAAGAGTAATAATAATAATAATGATGAATAATAATAATAATTATTATTATTGTTAATAAATTATAATAATAATAATAATAAAAAAAATTATAATAATTAATATTCGTTGTTGATAAATAATAATAACAATATTTACAATAATTATTATTGTAATTAATAAATAATAATTGCAATAATAATAATTATGATTTTTATTATTATATATTAATATATATATATATATGTATTTTTTATATAATATTATTGTTGTTATTGGATCTCTGATTCTTTTTATTTATATATATATATTTTTTTTTAAATAATTACGTACGAATGAAACGGCGGGGTGTGGTGGTAGGGTGAGTGATGAAAAATACATATTTTTTTTCCTTTCTCTTATTCTTTTCTTTATCTTTTCTTTATCTTTTTTTCTCTTTTTTTTTCTTTTTTTTTTTTCTTTTTTTTTTACTCTAATAACAAAGACCAATGTTTTATAAGTGACCACGATTGTATTAGGAAAACGTTTATATCGCGTAATCATTCGCGAATGATTTCTAACGAAATAGAGATATTAAATGATTGCCTTATTCTTTCTTTTTTATTACTACCCTATTTTTCTTTTTAATTTTTTTTGTTTCGTTTTGTTCTTTTTTTTTTGTCTTGCTGTTTTTTCTTCCCCCACCACCCACCCCACCACCACCCCTTTAAATTCTCACTTTTCCATAGAATTGAGAAAAGTCTGGCATCTTCGTATTGCAGTCATGGTTCGATGGATTCCCAAGCAATATTGCTCAAGAAAATAAATTGCTAATAATCCGATAAGATTGCTTCCTGCTTAGGTACTCGGTTGCGCCTATTATGCAAGTAATATAAAGAAATGAATTATTTTCTTTTGGTCAACAGCTGATATTTTGCATATTTTAATTATTACATATGGTAATTATTAATATTTCTTACG